AATATATTTTGGAGCTTGATCACCATGAACTAAAATCAACTCATCGGTTATGGCTTGTGCTGAAAACCCAAGTTTTTTTTTTTTTTTTTAGTTATTAAGGTGCTCTAATAATTCTTGTCAGAGGTGTTGTCACAGAGCACAGCCACATGAAGAGTAAGCATTTATTAAGTTGGCTCTCCGTTTCCAACTTCACCGAAAACGTTTATGTGCTTCGAGCGAGATTGAACCCGCAACTCTTGGGTTACGAGTCTAATGCTCTAACCACTGCGCAACGGCTGCTTAGAGGGGTTTAAAATATGCTCGATAATCAGGTTTTTTCATTTTAAAATTTTTTATTCCAAACGTATATATTAAAATTTAACTTAATATATTTTTTAATAAACATTAAGAATATTTCACCAAATACTTAAAATGTTCATAATTAAATACGGTTTATGATGATATATACATATTTAAACATTTCCTTTCTTATTGTAACTTTATAGATAAAGTTCTACGAACTTCTCTTAGGGCCAAGAAGTATTTATAATTTTATTTTATTCATTTTTCTCAGACTGTTATTAAGATGCATGAATATCTTATAAATAAAAATATAGCAAATGAAAAAATATGGTGACGAACACTGGAATCAAATTAACCCACTTGTTAGTAATCGCCACCAAAAAAATCAAAAAATTAACCCACTTGTTAATAATCGCCACCAAAAAAATTCAAAAAAATGTTTTTTTTTATCGTAAAATATAAACTCTGGCACATACTTTGACACTTGTACCAAGTTGCTTTAGGAAAAACTACAAAATTACAGATTAAAAAGAAAAAACCATAAGCCAAACATTTTTTTTTTAAAAGCATTTTTCAGCTGTTTTTTTATTACATTATTATCGATAATTTATAGAAAAAAAGGTGAGAAATGACTATTTGTATAGGACGATGTTTTACCGCATGTACCACAAAAGTAACTGTTGTACTATTCTATGCTGCTAAAAGTTTGTTGATACAGTAAAAATGTTGACCAATAGTTTTAATCAGCATATGTTGTGACGTCAGATAAAGTTGTATTCGTTCTGGTGCAAGTATGAGAGAAAAAGAAACAGTAAGAGTGAGCAAAAGTGAAGAGAATGAACAAACACGTGGCAACTGAGATGGCGAAAACGTCAAAACCCTCAGTCAAAGTAGTGCATGCTAAGCCCGATTCAAATCGTATTTGTCCATTCAAACAAAAGAAGAAAGTCCAAAGCAGTTTCTGATTTAATTAAGAAAAATTTCAAAGTGGTTATCCTATGGGACAGCTGTTGTTCTATTAAATAAATAAAACTAATTACATAAAAACACTCTATTAATGTAATTTTCTCACTTTTTTTTTTTGATTCCACGCAGTATTATGACCGGATATTCTAAGTGAATAACAAAAGTAAAAAAAAGTGTATACAAAACTTTGATTTTTCAACAATAATTTACACTTGAAATTAAATTTTTATCAAAAAGAAAAATAATTATTTTTTCATTGCGTTCATCATACTTCAATAATTATTCTTGTTTTATCCATTCTCGTAATTCGTTCTCGTTTTCTTGCTTAGCATCTGCTGGAACCGCATACTGAGCTACCGTATTTGTAGACAGGCTGACATTTTCTCCATCTCTCCATATCCACTTCACTTTCCAATCCGTTCCATCAAAAACTGCTTCATGGTCCCGTTTCTTGATTTCAAGGTGTGTGTTACGTTCATCTTTTGCTGCCGCGCACACATTTCTAAAACGTGCTTTTCCCGACGAACGAATGGGACTCCTCCTAGTAACGGTATCGAACTCATACCAAGCATAACGTCTGCTCCGAAGGGTCGGAAATTTGTAACCAGAACTCGATCCTGTGCACGAACTCCATTGACTTCAAGGTCAATCGTTGCCGAGCCAACACAACTTTGAAGTTTGTTGCCAAATGATGTCACCTTAAAATTATTTGACAACATAATTCGCTCATCAGCTACTAATTTTTGAAATACGATTATCCTTGAACATCCAGTATCCACGATAGCTTTCACGGTTTTGCCATCAACCTTTATTCTAATGACAACAAGTACGCTTACTCCATGGCTTCTTGAGAGCGAGTTAGCGCACAACGCTCGCTCTCCTGACAGTTTCCCCGCTGCTTGATACAATTTATCGCAATATGCTCCATTTCATTGCAATTGAAATATCGTATATTCTTCCTGGGTACTGTACAGTTTTTGGCAATGTAATTTTGCTCACGACAGTTGTAGCATACCAAAGATTTGGGCGACTTTGTCCTCGCGATACTTTTGCAAGCGGTGGCAGCAGAGACGTCATCTTCCGTTGTGCCAACCCGATTCAAAGCAGCTCTTACTTTTGGCAGCAATTCATCAGTGGTCTGTTTCGTAGCTCGAAATCTCCAAGATACTGTTTCTGGCAGTCCGACGACAAAAGCCAACCGCATCGCTTCGTCTGATAACTTTGCCAAGTATGCCAATCGTTTCAGATCTGCTAAAAAAACATCAGCTCGTTCCCCGTTGTGCATTCTTCGCTTTGTGAACAACTCGAATCCAAAAAAAAAGCTTGCAATAAGACGTTTTCAATTTTCTCTGCATCTTTCTTTTCATCTTCTCCCAAACTATCGTAAACTGCATACGCAGCATTTAGCAGCAAAACAGGGTAGAGCATCCTTAGTTGGACGCCAACTTCAGCAATAACTTTGGTTCTCTGTAATCAAATCGCTGCGTCAGACGCGCCATCGCATTTTTTGAAGACATCTGAAAATTTTAATAATGGTTCCATGGCCGGTTAGCTTGTAGTTTTTCTACGCAAAAATAACACTTCTATTACACAAAACTCTTTATTCTCAGATTCAAAAAACTAAATAAACTCCTATACAAAATTTTCTCTCCCTTAAATACTTATTACATTTATTTACAGAAAACACTAGAAATCTCTTCAAAACGTATAAACAATTTCCATAAGTCCAATGTTGTTTCTAGCGCCTTCGACGCGCTAAGATCACAAAAGTTTAAAGTATTTAGGCAAAACATTAAAAGAAACAAAGTTATTATTAGAGTTTTAAAGACAGGAAATAATGACCTAAAAAAAAATTAAATTTCATTATAGTAGAATAATCAGTAATCTTAAAGCTAAAGTTAAGGCATTAAAACTTAAAGAAAAACAAAACCTAATGCAAATAAAAGTTATGCAAAATGCTAATATTACTAGCATTTTATTAGCATTAATATTATTAGCATTATTAGTAATAATAAAGCAAATAAACTGTAAACAGTTATTTTGCTCAATTAGAAAATTATATCACCCACAGGAAAGAGGGGGATATTTCAACTGTTAATATATCAGAAGATTTAAAGACTTATTCGTTGGAAATGAGGATGATAATTTATAGCATGTTATTGGCTAATGTTCCAACAGGTAACATTGGGTTCCTTATTGGAAAAATTGGGCAATATTTAGGTGTTAGTATAACTAAAATTCCTTGCCGCTCAACTATTGAGCAAATGGCACGTGAACTTGGTGAGATAGCAGAATTGCAATCAGCAGAATTTGCTATAGAAAATTCTAAGCTTACTCTTGGATTTGATGCAACAATGAAAGAGGGTGTTCATATCAACGCCATCCATCTTACAAGAGAAACTCACTGTCAGGTCATTGCTCTAGATATCTAGGTCATTGCAATTATCAGGTGGAACAGCAGTTCATTACAAAAACCATATATGTTGTGCAGTGGATCATCTAGCTTTTATTTATTTAGATTTTCACTCGCTTTTCTTTAATGATTGTCGTAGCTTAGTTATCTCAAATATATATAGCACATGTCTGACAGGGTTGCAGTAAATCATCTTACAATTAAGAAAATATGCAATGCTTGGGGTAAAGGTTTTAATGAGCTAAACTGCCATTTGAATTCTTTAGACTCAATTGCTACTAAATGTCGTGAAGCTCTTAAATTATTAGAATTTGAAGGTTGCGGATTATTTGGAAAATATTGTATGGCAGTCAATATTGTTTTAGCTATAAACAAGATGAGGTTTAAAGATGGAACAGGTGATCCTGAAGAGTTTGTTAAATTTTTATATAATAATGGCCTCCCACGCGGTAGTATTCCAAGGTATCGGTGAATCGTCTTCATATTGTTTTTCATACTTGTTTTATACTAATGCAGCATTATAATGAATTTCTAAAGTACCTGACCACTGCAACACTGAAATGTTCTAGTTTGCAACAACTCCTTCAAGCAGCATTTTGTAATGCAACTGCTATAAAACAAATAGGTGTGCTAGCACTTTTTGGAAAATTACTAACAAGACCGTGGATGACAAAATTTTATGTATCAGCTGAATATGCAATTTCTGATCATGTCACTGGTATAGAAGTAGTAAAAGATGTATTAAAAACAATTACATTTGGCAAATCCAATCCGGCTGCATTATTTTCCCGAAATACTGATTTATTTGGGAAACAGCTAGTCCCATATATTTTAAAATCAATCACAACTTTATGCTCGATTGATGCCCAGCTTATCAAAATGACTTGTCTTGCTGCAGTTGAGAGTGTCTTTGTTCGACAATACGAAAGATATTTCTCTCTACCTATTACTCGGCGGGCTTACATTGGCCCAATAGCATTGGCCCAATGCAGTTTGGCTAGCGTTTATCCAACGATATATTTTATCAGACCTAATGAATTACAAACGCTATTTGTGCTCAGTACATAGTTAGTTCAGCAAATATTAACATTATATTTCTTATATTCGTTGTTCTTTAATGTATTAAAATGACTGTAATTGCAATCAGCACTCGAATAAATCAGAACTCGATAAAATGCAAACTGACTTGATCCTATAAGATATTAACCCCTTTTCAAAATGTATTGTAATCAAACGCGTTTGTGATTTCATTTAAGGTAAACTTATTTTTAAGGTATCAAAACTCTTTTGTGATAAAAAAATAAAACATTTAATAAAATAAAATGTATATCAGATAATATCAAAACTGCTGTACAATAATCTAGACATCATCGTTGTCATCTGCATCGTCACTGTCTTTGTCCCAAAGTGTCCCAAATGGCATACAGAATCAATCCTTGCACTATCTGACTTATTTCGGTAATAACACAATAATAACTAAAAGTAAAAAACAACTGGTGAAATTCTTAGCATAAATTGTTGGTACTCACAACAATAACTAAAAGTAAAAAGATACTTGGTGAAATTCTTGGCATAAGTTAATTGTTGGTACTCACAATAATAACTAAAAGTAAAAATTTACCTGGTGAAACTCTTAGCATAATCAAATTGTTGGTATTCACAATGATAACTAAAAGTAAAAAAAATACCGGGTGAAATTCTTGGCACAAGTAAATTGTTGGTATTCACAATAATAACTTAATATAAAAAAATACCTGATGAAATTCTTGGCATAAGCAAATTGTTGGTACTCACAATAATAACTAAAAGTAAAAAAATACCTCGTGAAATTCTTGACATAAGTAAATTTTTGGTACTTGCAATATTAACTTAATTTAAAAAAATACCAGGTGAAACTCTTGGCATAAGCAAATTGTTGGTACTCACAATAATAACTAAAATTAAAAAAATACCTGCTGAAATTCTTGGCATAAGTAAATTGTTAGTATTCACAATAATGACTTAATATAAAAAAAATACCTGGTGAAAATCATGGCATAAGCAAATTGTTTGTTAACACAATAATAACTAAAAGAAAAAAAATACCTGGTGAAATTCTTAGCATAAGTAAATTGTTGGTACTCACAATATTAACTAAAAATGAAAAAAAATACCTGGTGAAATTCTTAGCATAAGTAAATTGTTGTTATTCACAATAATAACTAAAAGTAAAAAAAACCTGGTGAAATTCTTAGCATAAGCCAATTGTTGGTCCTCACAAAAATTACTAAAAGTAAAAAAACACCTGGTAAAATTCTTGGCATAAGTAAATTGTTGGTATTGACAATAATAACTTAATGTAAAAAAATACCTGGTAAAATTCTTGACATGAGCAAATTGTTGGTACTCACAATAATAACTAAAAGTAAAAAAATACCATGTGAAATTCTTGGCATAAGTAAATTTTTGGTATTCACAATACTAATAATAAAATAAAATAAAAAATGGAAACAAAATTTAAGAAATTATAAAAGTAAAAAAAAATAATTGTAATTTCTTCTTGTAATATCTTGCAAAGACATTTACTGCAATTTTCTGTTGCAATAAATCTAGTGCTTGTTCCAGCTCCAATGCTAAGGTTGATTAATACAATATATAAAGATATATTTAGATTATTATTTGACCAAATTAGCTGTTCAATTAGGAGTATATTATTTTTGTATTAATAAAATTATTACTTGTTTGTGGTTTAGAGCAATTACAACAGCATAAAAATAAACTAGGTATTTAAAGTTATAAATATGCAAAAAAACAGATTATTTTATTTAAATATACACACCTTAAACCAAAATTAATGCTCCTTACTTTTATGTTTTTAATTGCCATTTGTATTTATGTGCGAGAAATTTTGCTGTTTTTAAACTTGTTATGGGTCATGCTTGTTACAGACATGTTTTCTATAACAATTCAAAATATCAAATCATCAACAATGCACAAACCGTAATCACAAAATATATTGAAATTTATTTATAATGATTTTACCACTCTACTGTGCATATTTTGCTGGTCAAAAGAATTTTGAAAGCAGGAACTAAGCACATCTTTGCTCATCGTATTGCTCTTGAGACAATATTGAGAGGTAATCAATGTTTTCAACATTATTTTTATTTTGTCTCTTTGCTTTGGATTTATTTTCTCTATATCAGAATCCAAATTTGATTGACACTGCAGTTTGTGTGTTTTCATGTTGCTTTTAAGGCACCTAAACAGATAAAATGAAGGTGCATTACTTTAATAACGCAATCAATTAAAAAAATTATATAAGTTTCGCTCTTCAACATTGATTAACAGGAACTAATTTTGTAATGTTAAACTAAAAATTTAGACATTTATACCACATTCATCATATTAAGACTTTTTATAGAAACAAAAATATTTCAATGTTAATTATATATATTCAATGTATACACTATATATAATTAATGCATAATGTAAAATATAATCTCTATTCTCTGTACATTTAATGTATACAGTATATCAATATACTTAAACCATTTTTTTTGTTTTAATTTATTATTAAATTTGATTATTAATATATTGCTGGATTACTTACAAGCAACAAAGTTTCTACATTTCTACAACTGGTGGTGTAGCATTTTTTGTTGCAATGTTTATTTGTCCTGTTGATCTAAAAGATGAACATTAAAAATATTTTTTGACACTGAAAATTTTACTGAAAACATTTTTATATATCTATGTTTGCATAAATTTACTATTTGTTTATGATTTACAAATAATACAACTATGCAAATGCAGAAATTTCTATGACTTAATTTAAAAAAAAATAATATAAAATCACAAATTTATAGTTAATAACTGTAAGGAGAAAAAGACACCTTCTCATAAATAATTTATACAAGCAAAGCAATTAGAGGACAGTCATAATCTCTCTGCCCCCCTCTCTCTATCTTTATATTATATCTTTCTCTCTCTCTCTCTCTCTCTCTCTCTCTTTATATATATATATATATATATATATATATATATATATATATATATATATATATATATATATATATATATATATATATATATATATGTATATATATATATATATATATACATATATATGTATATATATATATATATATATATATATATATATATATATTTATATATATATATATATATATATATATATTTAGATATATAAATCTTTCTATATATATATATTTCTATATATATACATATATATATATATATATATATATATATATATATATATATATATATATATATATATATATATATATATATTCATATATATATATATATATATATATATATATATATATATATATATATATATATATATATATATATATATATATATATATTATTTTATATATTATCACAAAATTGATTTTTTACATTGGAATGTTTTTTTTTAATTTATTTTAGCATATTTCTTTTTGGAGCCAGATATAGACCAAATTATTTATTTCCTTATTTTCCATTAATTATTTTTGTAATATTTTTTTTTTCTCAAGCTATTTAACACCCGAAATTTGGTTGCTTTGTTATTATTATTTTTTTCTAGATACTTTCTGAACAAGTTTTTTTTACAAAAATAAAAAGACTTAAAAAAATGGCATCAGCATTCCTATGCAGAACCCATAATTGTTTATGTACAAATTATGGCTGTCTCTTTTTACTACGTGACTATCATATAGCTACTTAAAATGTCTTAATCCTGGAGCATCAATAATTTGCTCTGGCAAAGAATTCCAATGTTTTATTGTACGATTAGTGAAAAAAGTTCACCTCTGTTTGCAATGCTTCACCAGTTGATATTTTATTTGCATAACATAATCACAAGTACCACCAGCAGGTACATTGCAATGAAGGGAGGGAAGAGACATTAGTGAAGGATGCCAATTAATGACATCAATCTGACGTATTATTTTAAAATGCTGTATCATATCACTTCTGATCTTTCTCTCAGGCAGGTTGGTAAGTCCTAATTCTTTGAGTTTTTCTTTGTATTGAAGTTTTGATATCAAGAAAATTACTTTTGTAGTTTTTCTTTGAATGTTTTTTAAAATATTGATGTCTCTCGCTTGATAAGGTGACCAAGAATGAATTGCAACTTCTAAATATCTAATATATATTATATAAAGCGATTTCCACAGATTTAAACCTCTATGTTGAAATTTTTTAAAAGTTTTAAGTATTTGATTGGGCTTCTAACAGAAGAATCTACTTGCGTCTTAACTTTAAAGTTATCAGAGATAAGTACACCTAAATTTTGTTCAATATAGGTATCAGCTAATGTGACTTGTGTGCCATTGTCATCATACATATAGTATTTTTGATTTCATTAAGTCGATCCTTTACCGATATGCATGACCTTACATTTTTTAATATTAAATTTCACCTGCCCATTTCTTGACCATTCAACTGCTTTATTGATATCAGATTGTAAAAAATCCACACCTGATGATTATCCCAATGAGCTGATTACCTCTATGATTTTGCTATCATCAGCATATAATTTTATATTGTCTGTCAATTAATCTGGTAGGTCATTAGTATATAACAGAAATAGCAGGATACCAGACTGATCCATGTGGGACACCGCTGACTAGATCTTTCCATTAAATAAAAAACATTTTTCATTTATCTTTACTACTCAAACCAAGTGGGGGCAAATAAAACAAACCAAAAACACAATAGCTATCTTTTCAATTATTTGTTTCTTACTGTAACAATCTTAACAGTTTTATAAATTTTGTCTTTTCTAAAAATTATAATATATGCTTTATATTTTGCTTTAAAGAGAAGATCAGTTGAAAGTTCAACTAGTAATCAACAGTATGATTTACGATTAAGAGAAATAATCAACAATTGTTCCAATGAGGATAAATATGAAAAGGGTTTCATTGACAATACCATTGGTAATTTGTTTATTGTCTACTTAGTAACTCTATAAGTAATTTTTATTTGTTTGTTTTTTGGTCCTATAATAAACTTACGTTTGTATTAATTTTTTTGTTATCTGTTTATATGTTTGTATGTAATATATATATATATATATATATATATATATATATATATATATATATATATAATATTTATAAATATATATATATATATATATATATATATATATATATATATATATATATATATATATATAAATATAAAAATGAATGTATAATATATTATAAATATAAAAATGAACCTATAGAAAGTGAAATAGACTGTAGAAAAAATAAGTGTTATAACAAACCCATTATAGCTCTGTTCGTTAAGTATATACTCTATTTGTAGAATAAACTTACTTAAATATATATATATATATATATATATATATATATATATATATATATATATATATATATATATATATATATATATATATATATATATATATATATATATATTACATACAAACATATAAACAGATAACAAAAAAATTAATACAAACGTAAGTTTAAACACTTTAAGGTCGGTATTTAAGTCGGCATTGCCGAATGCCGAACCTAATTCCAAAGGTTTATATATATATATATATATATATATATATATATATATATATACATATATATATATATATATATATTTATATATTTTTATATATGTATATTTATATATATATATATGTATAAAAATTATATATATATATATATATATATATATATATATATATATATATATATATGTATATATATATATGTATATGTGTATATAAATATATATATATATATATTTATACATATATATATATATATATATATATATATATATATATATATATATATATATATATATATATATATATATATATATATATATGCATATATGTATATCTAGATATATTTATGTATATATATATATATATATATATATATAAAACTTTTTTTTTATTTTTAGTTCTTATGTATTAGAATTGATGGTACAGATTCAAACTGTTTTGCACTGTTTGTAAATGATGCTTCTGAAACGTTTTTAAATTGCTTTCCAAAAACTCATATCATTGATGGAAGACTGCACCTTTTTTTATT